CGCTCTTGTGTTCATCCTTGTGGGAACTCTGGAAATACAACACATGCGGGGAATCCAGCCACGCTTGGCCTGTCACCTCCAGACAGATGGGGGGAGGGGCAGGGAAGACGAAATGGACTCAATGAAGAGTAAATCCTTGTGAGGCTTATTTCCCTTCTTCTAGGTCAAAGTGAGGTCCAGCAGGTGTTATTGTTGGGACTTGCAAGAAAAAGGACGGTATGAAAACTATGCAAGCCGATTCACCTCCGTGCACATCTCTGCCTCCCACGCTCCACTGCCTCCTCTTAAGCTGCTGTCAGAGGCAAAGCCGCAGCAGGTAGACGGTTATCATTAGGACAAAGGAGACTGCCTGCAGGTGCTCCCCAGTCTGCGCCGACCAAAAAGGTTCAACATTCAAATTATTTGATACTCTAAACTAGTCTTTCCCAACCAGTGTGCTATGAGTGACCATCAAAAACACAGTCACACATGTCTGAACACCACCGCCGTGTTGGAGGTTGACAGTGTTTTGTATGGTGCCAATTCGGTGTTTTGACCGATCGATTTGATAGCAAACGTCAAAAAAGTTGGTGTGGATATTTGGCAGCAACAATATAAGCGGCGGGATGGACGAAGTCTTATTTCCTCGTTTATTGGCACCGATTGTCAAGCATCAGAGCAACAAGATGGGACATTCGACGGGAAAAGACAGATTGTGGCTTTCACAAATGAGCAGCGCTGATATCACTCAAGCGCGAATAACGTAGTCCACGTATCCGTTCTGAAGACTTTGCTCAAATTGTCCCTAGGTGTGAGTGTGAGTGCGGATGGTTGTTCGTCTCTGTGTGCCCTGTGATTGGCTGGCAACCGGTTCAGGGTGTCCCCCGCCTACTGCCCGAAGACAGCTGGGATAGGCTCCAGCACCCCCCGCGACCCTTGTGAGGATGAAGCGGTCTGCAAAAATGAATGAATGAATTCTGGATATCGAGCTGTGGCATTCAAACACACATGTCAGAAATGGAGGATTCTTTGATTAGCGGACACCCACCATGCTAACCAGAGGCCCATTTTATTGACGAATGACAAAAAGTGGGTTTTCATCCGTCGGTGTAATCGCCACTAACTGGGTCAAGTCCCAACTAACGTCTCAGTCCGTCACTGACTTCCGCCCGATTCGCTGATGATTGACGGAAACACGCCCTTTTTGTTTTGTTTTTTTGTAATGTAACAATACAGTCTTTGGCACAATAAAGATATGGGAAACGCTTCTCTAAACAACGAAAACGAGGGGTTTGTTGCTAGGTTACAGTCAGGTAACACACACACACATACACACGCGCACTAGCACAGAAGCCATTAGGATTCAAGTGTTTCCATACCAAACGGTTGCGTTTGCTCCTACCTTAAATTCAGTGTTTCCAGTCTGCTTTTGCGATGTGACTTCTCTGTGACTACTCGCTGGATGGTCTCATCAAGGGGGGAGGGGCCGGTTAGTGGGAGGATATGTGTGTCACGGGCCTCATATGGAATGTTTCCACTGAAATACTGAGGTGAAGAAAAGAATTTCCCATAAAAGGACCAGAGTTGTGTCTCCAGACATACAGTTCGCTCGTTGAAGAAAAGTCAAATCCGGGTTAGACAATGAAGGCGAAAGTTCATTGACAGTGTTTCCTTGTTTATAACCCTTGTATTATAATGTTAAAATAACAGTTAAAGGTGAACATGCCGTGGGTGGTCCTTTAATTAGGGGCCTGCAGTTAAACATACAAAACTACCAAAACACAATGGGATTGTAAAAACAGTCGACAACCAAGAGCACAGTCCAACAGTCTGGCTTTGGGCCGTAACAGTCCTGCAGATGACACTTGATTATTTCGCGCCCCCCCCCCCCAACACATTCCCCCCCCCCCCCCCCCAACACCCCCACCCCCAGCAATATGCTCTTATGCCATGTTGACAGATTGAGGTTGAGCTTGAAATTTAGCTGACATCATTGTCAGATCCACATCAAAAATCCACGTGAAATCATCTGTGAGCCTGCAGGTTCTTCTCGGTTCCATGATTCCAATTTCCTGCATAGAGTCCGATATGCTTCCAGACCTTTGTGAAACAATTTGGGGAGGCCTGCAAACAACGTCATTTTAGATTTACATTAGTCAGCATCCATGCCATTCTCAGTAGCAAAGTGGCATTATGCCTCAAGACGAAAAAGCAACAACCAAAGATGAATTGAAATTCTGCCGGTAAACAGAATTTTTTTATTTTTTTGGGGTGGGGGGTGATCAATTTTCTTCTTAAAATATTTGCAGTCAAGACAACCCATTCCCACATCAGATGTTATATTTACATATTTGTGTGCTGTCGCCAGGGAAATTCCTCCGGACTGCATCCCATGCGTGTGTGTGTGTGTGTGTCACTGCACAATGCTCACTCTGTGAGAGCTTGTGAAGCAGAGCTATGGCCTGGTTAATGAGATCGCGCACGGTTCGATGGTATGTGCGTGAAATTTTGGCGTGGGTTGTGTCAATTGATTTAAATGAGTTTGAGTCAATGGAATGCATGCGAGCCTTTTTCTGCAATGACAACACCGTAGTAACAATGTTTGAACTATTCATACAAATATGACAGATGACACCTGAAAAGGGTGCCGTTGGAATGCCAAAAACGACGTGAAAACTGAAACGGTGAAAAGGAGTTGAAAACAAAATCAGTCCTAAACAGTTCTCGTTTTTTTCCCCTCCCGTTTTCAGAAATGATCTTAAAACGTGTACATTTCTGCACAAAAGGAATTGGTGAAAAATAATCATAATTAACCCTTTCAGGGACAGCGGTTACTACAGTGGACAGCTTATCATGCTATCAGGTTACAGGGTGCATGAAAGAGCAAATAGATGAATAAATAAATGAAAAAATAAGGAAAGAAAGGGTGATAAAATCTTTTAAAAAAAATCTCCCAGTTTCTCTGCGTGTAGCTACTTAAAGAGGAGAAAGGCGTCGGCCTGGGGATTCGCCTGAGCCATTCTTTGCTCTCAGCCCCGTCTGAAAATACCAGAGGAGCCAAAAAGAAAATACCTCACAGCTGTTCTTTGTGCGCTCAAACTGTTCATGTGATACCGGTTGCGTGATGCTGCCACCTGACTTTTTGAGTGCTAGCTTTCAACCAACTTTCTCCTTCTTTCGTCTTCAGACTCTCTTTGTTATTTCATCTTGGCATGAATATCAGACCGACAAAAATCCATGGCCGGTTTATGTCTATGTGCCACTGGGAAAGCGGTCACGGGTGGGAGGGATTTGCCGGCCGTATCGCGTACGCCGCTGGGAATGTCAGGGTCAAGACCTTTTTAGGGGAGAGGCCAAAAGGATAAAGTCTGTGGAGCGCTTATCTTGCTCTCCATCTGTAGTAGATTTTGTGACACGAGGAGCACGGAGGGAGAGAAAAAAAAAACACCCCCCTGCCAACTCCTGACAAAAAAAAAAAAATGAGCAGAAACAAAACCACTTCTCATTCTGCGCCTCACGAAAGCATGAATAATTAACACGAGACAAAATGGATCTGTCGTCAGCATCATAAACAGTCTCGCCAGAGCTTAAGTTACTTTTGGAAGCAAAAAATCGACTTTGATCATAATCGGCACTCGGCGAGTGTGCAAACGCACAGCTTCTTGTCTCAGCTGTTCAGACCACAAAACCAAACGTCAACGGTGACACGCATACCATTAAACAGTCTCGCCAGAGCTTAAGTTACTTTTGGAAACAAAAAAAATCGACTTTGATCATAATCGGCACTGGGCGAGTGTGCAAAGGCACAGCTTCTTGTCTCAGCTGTTCAAACCACAAAAACCAAACGTCAACGGTGACACGCATACCAACGATCACGCTGAATTTGAGCCCGGTTCCCGCTTCTGATCAAAGTCAGCAAAGGTCCGATTGCCAGGCTCAAAAAGATTATCCGGAGCGATTATCCTGTTGTGTTGAGCAGCGTTGCCAGTTACCTTGATAAACTCACTTAGTTACTATACTGATTGCTTGGCTTTAAAAGTAGCTTAATGACTTTACTGATTAAATGAATTGAAAGGTAACTGAATTAGATTTCAATGAAATTTTTTCGTTGCAATCAACAATATAATAACATAAAATTGACTACTTTTTAACGCACATTGTTAAGATAATGTTTAACGCCCTTTTGTTGTCGATGTACTGCTCGTGCTTTTGAAGCTAGATAACACTTTGTCAACAGCAGAGTGTGCAGCACCCCATAATATTTTCTTCAGCTGACACAAACTGAAAAGAGTGACTGGATTTCCATCTTGAAATCTCACGCCTGCCTGCATTGTTATTTTTCTTGTGGTCGCAACGCGACATGGCGCATACGTGACATCACTCACCCAGATGGAAAGGCTTCGTCCCAGAATGCTTTACTTCAACATCCAAACACTGCAGTTCCCTTTTCTTACATACAACGCTTTATGTACAACATATTTGTTTGAAAACATATATAAGTAAATAACAAATAAAATCTAAAATGGACTGCGGTTTGACAGTAGTTCAAGTTGTAATATTGCCATTTACCACTAGATGGCAGGCATGTCATAGTTGCGCGAGTCATGGTTCTTTGGAACATTTTACTGTTTTCAATAACATAACAATTTTGAGTGAGTTGATTTTTGTGGGGGAAAAAATGTAGCCTTCAATGCAAGTTTTGGGAACGTGTCGAAAAAGCCATGCAGTCATGGGCACAACATGCAAATTCCACACAGGAGGGCTTGAACTGAGATTCAAACCCACAACCTGTCTTCTGTGAGGCAGATGTGTGAAGCACTTGTATATTTATTTCTCATGGGCAGAATTCTCGATCGGGCTCTTCATGTAGAAGCTACTGGGTGCGATTAGAGTGCTGAAGGGGGGAACCCAAGGAAGTGTCCGGTGGGCGTCGATCTTCCACACCCACCCACCCCTGTGCGGAGGAAGGTGGGCCCCAGGGGCGGGGACTGTGTCGGAGAGGCTGGGGCGTGCTGGATGATCCTCTGAGCCTCTCAGCTCGCCGTGACTTCACGCAACACTTTACATAGCGACACTCGGCTTCTTCACGCCGCGCCTGCAGCTTCTGCCGTGTACGCAACAGATCTCGCAGCGTGGTGTTGGACTAGTCTTGAGCGGTCCGTTGGACATTTGAACTTGTTGCTACGTGTTGTACTTTTGTTTAAGTCGACATCTCATCCAGCTACGTCCAAACAGGAGGCTGTTTGTTGTGTAATATTTTACGCGAGAAAAGAGATCCGCAGCTCTCAACGCTTTCGTCTCGAAAGGTAAGAAATGTGTTTTGGATCGTGACTCTCAACTTGTGCTCTTAAATGTCAAATTCTTGATTTAAAAGTGGTTCTTGTGGGCGGACTCACTCGCATCGTGCGTTTGCCTTGCTTACTTTTTTTTAATCCCTTAAATCCCACGAACCTTTCTTTTGGGGAAAGTGTTGGGACTAAATACAAGGTGCATTTTTTTTTGGTTTAGTCTGAGCTTCACCTGTTGAAAGACTTGTGTTGAATTATTTCTGTCAGAATCCATAAAACAACGTGTAGATAATTGTGCTGAATGCAGCAGCCATCCACATTTATAACACAGATGACATCTAATTCAAGACCTGGATCACATATTCTGCCTTCATAAAGAAAATAATGTTTGTTAGATTTGTAATTCAACCATACGTTTTAGAGGCATAACGATTCATCAAGTTAATTGATTATCATTTTTTTGATGAAAATGTCCAAATACTCGGAATTTCAGCTTCTCAACAGTCACTATTATCCAATTTTTATAGGCCGCCATGAAAGCAGGCTTTGTGTTGAATCCAAATAAATCATCGGCTTTTATTGTAGAAAACATGAACAACTTTTTGTTGCCTATTTTCTGACATTTTTTTGGATTAAACCAGTAACTGCAACGTGAATGATTTATATTCAGAGTTTGCGCAACATCAATTTGAAATAATGTCAGTTTTTTTTATCATGAAGGGATGGAAATTGAAATGTTTTTGACAATCCGATTCATCGATTAAATTGACAAAATAATCCACCGATTAATCGATTCTTAAAATAATCATGAGTTGCAGCCCAGCAAATTTCTTTCGATGGTTATATCTTACAGTGCTGGAACTGCACTGTAAGCTGTTCCTCATTTGAATACCTCAATTTGGCAAAAATTTTAGAAACAGCTCTCAGAAAAATTCTCCACCACTGTATACTCCAACCACAACAGTTGTGGTACTGTTAGTACTGTTCAATTAATTAATTCCTTGTTGGCAGTGTTGGTCAAAACTGAGCAGTTTGTCAAGGCAGAATATTTGTATTGGCTGTTGTTATTGTGTGATGTAGAATTGTAGTTGTGCGTCGGTCCCTCCGTCCGTCCCCATCAAGCTGGCATCCTTCCCACGGGCTTTAGCCTGACCAGTGCTGTCTGCCGACATCTTCGGGGTCATCGCATGCATGATTGCGATGCGCTGGCGTCGCTGGAGGGCGTGTCACTTTGCATCCATCAGGGAAGGATTATACCCCCCCCCCCCCAAAAAAAAAAAAATGAAAAACTTTTTTGGGTAAGTTTTTTTCAAAAGGAAATTGTAGAAATTGTAACACATGGGTTACCTACCTTCAAAACATGGGTTTGAAATGTGAAAGGAAGCTCGCGGCATAAGTGCTCACCACTGCTTCACCGTGCTACCCATTTTATCATTCAAATTAAGTTAATGTGTTACTGGACAATGTCAAAATCAATTAACAATTTGGCTGTTAAGGATTATACCCCCCCCCCCCCAAAAAAAAAAAAATGACAAACTCTTTATGGATAGTTTTTGTCCAAGTGATGGAAACCAATGAATGATTCCTTCAGAAATTGCGTATGAAAAGTGAGATGCTTACAGCTCGAGTGTAGACTTTTCCTCGAGTGAAAAATGAGTACTACAAGGTACTACTTCTAGTATCTGGTCATGCAAGGATCCATGCATGCTGACCTAATGCTGTATGATGGATGGAGACCACTGCCGGTCGCTGATTGGTCGAGCTGATTCATAATGACCTCAAATGGGAGCTTTGGAAAATTCACTCTCGAGCAAAATGTGAAGAAGTTGTTGTTTGTCCTTTATGTACTACTGACATCAAAGTACTTTAAGTGATTGTTTTTGGGGTTGGACCGAACTGCTTATTGAAATAGCCGCAACAAAGCCGCAAAGTGAGACCAGAGGGAGTGATGAACGCATTGGGGGAACTTTAAGGCTACAAATCACTTCATTGTAGCTGTTATGGTTTAAGTTGCTTGGACATGTGTTTACGTTTCTGAAGGCTTCATCCTAATGCTTGTGGCTGCATGCATTGACCAGCCTGCGCAATGCAATGGCAAATTCTGTCTTCACCAAAGTTGATAATGCTATATTTTGAAATCGCAAGCTTGTGAAGTTGTACTGAATGAAGTGGATGATATGTAATGATTGAAATGTTGCAGAATCACAGTCAAAATGTTTCTTCTCGACTAACTTGCAGTAACAGCTGGAAATCAGATCGCATTTCACCCGAGGAGATTAGCACCATGGGAGCCATTACCGCAAAGTAGTGTCCAGGTGTGTGTGTGTGTGTGTGTGTGTGTGTGTGTGTGTGTGTGTGTGGGTTCGTGTGTGTCTGCCTTGTGTGTGTGTGTGTGTGTGTGTGTGTGTGTGTGTGTGTGTGTGTGTGTGTGTGTGTGTGTGTGCACGTGCGTGAATGCAACCATCATAACATGGCTCAACAGATTGGACCAACTGGTTCCTGTCACCATTAATTAATGTGCCGAGCTGCTTTCTGTCTCAGTGTTGGAGCCCGTTGTTTCCTCAATGACAGGGAGACAACCGTGGCGTCAACGTGGAGAAAGAAACTCAAAGCCTGCACACACACGCGTGCTTGTTCACGAGAACATTCACGTTGTCAGAAGGAAAATGCGAAAGAAGCAGCCGTATTGATGCTGCCGCAACAGCCGCCGCCAACGCAGATGAATAAGCTCTGCCTGAAGCTTTTTTTTGTTTCCTCCAGAGCTCGATTCACAAGCCGTCCATATACAAAGGATGGCATTTGTAAAGCTGCGTTGTCATTCATATGAAGAAACACGGAGAGCAGCGACAATCCATCATTGGCTGTCCCGCTGTAGAGTGCAAGGAGAGAAATGAGCTCAGGGAACCTCAAAGAACATCCACAGCATGCAGACAATTTGCAGGTTCATCAGAAGAACACCAACAAGTTTTGAGGGCAACGAGAAGAAGAAAAAGAAGCAACTTTTTCTTTGAAATAAAGAAAAACACATTGTTGGCACCCATCACGTGGTATTTGTTCAGCCCACAGACGGACATAGAACACGTGGTGTGAGTCTTTTTGTGCGTTTGCGTTGCTCTCCTTCACACGTTCCCCAGCACAAGTGTGGAAAGTCACTCGGAGTGAAAACAAACGCATGGCGAGTGAAACGCGCCTTCGCTGCTCCGACAGAAATTGTTCATGTGGTTTTCAGCCCGCTGACTGTCAGTTCAGTGAATCATCTTCACAAAAAGGCCTGAAATGAATCCATCTGCAGCTCCACGTGCTTGCATGACGATGATGCGGTCTAGCACTTTCCTCATCCTGATTTTTTTTCTTTTTTCTTTTTTTTTTTTTTAGTCTGATTTGCTTGCTAATGAGCTTGCAGACTTGGCAAGTCATCTGATCAGTGGCACTGATTTCACCACATCCATCATCCTCTCCTCCTGGATGAAGTCATCTATTGTTCTTTTCTCCTATTTGTCCTCATGCCGTGTCCGCGCCCTGGCTGGGAGCGCAGGTTTTGAGCGGTATGGCGGCCAGGGGCCGTCACGCTGAGCACGTCCTCGCCCGCATCAGCCGGTCGCCCGCAGAGAGCGTGGCCCTAAATGGAGTATCTATCGGCTCAATGAGAAAATTGCTTTTCTTGATTGCTAGAGGACCCTTCATTTAATGTGTGCAAGACACAAGCCACAACCAGTAATGGCTCCAGCATCTTTGTTGTTTGCAGAGATGAGTAAATGAAATTTGCTTTCTAGCTGGCAGAAATAATTTACTGTCGGGCAAGGTGAAATTTCCATTGCTGGCTCGAAACGCATTTAATGGCCCAAAAAAAAAAACTCTTGACAGACTGCGTCTGGCTATTTTCGTAACCCAAGTTCACAAAATGCTGTACTTTTGAATAGGGATGTATGAGTACCGATACTAGGTATCAAGACTCACAAATACTGCCAATACTAGTCATGGACACTGATGGCGCCTGAATCGGTTCATTAATAATGTATTTTTTTTTCCATCTGACTGCAGTACAGGCAATATAGTGTTTTTTTTTTTTTTCTCATTACGTGTGTATTATATAGCGTGCTATACTCACCTGTTGCCTACTTTTTTGGTACCAATGTCCCGATATTTTGTCGTATGAATGTTTTTTTTTTCATCTGGTTGTTTGTATTTTATTGTATTATATCTTTGACCCCTTTAGTATTTTTTTTCTCATTTCTGAAGAAGTTTGAAAAAAAAATCAATATTTATCAATAGTTAGGAAATACATTGCAGTAATTTTTATAGCCCTATTTTCCAATGACATAGTTTCATGCTTAACAGTTAACCGTTCTCAATTTTACTTCACACTTTTATTTTCTGTAGAAGAATTACGATTGCGATTGGTTACTTGGTATCAAGAATGAGTATTTGTACTGGTAGCTGAATAAATAAAGTGGTATCGAACATCCATACCGGAGTGGTGGCAGCAAAAGTTGGGTTCAATATCGTTCACTTGTAAAGAGCTGACCCGAATGGTTGACCTTCTTCTGTGTGAGTTATCTTGTATTTTGCCGAAGAACACGTAGAAAGTATAAAAAACACGTTAGGTGCAATATTAGATACACTGTCCATGACGTTGTAATCCAGGGGTCACCACCTTGGTGCCTGTGGCATGCCACCCCACTAAGCCCCGCCTCTTAAAGGCACATGCATGTACAGTATTTCTATACATTTTATGCTTGGTGTGTATGTTCAAAGCTTCCAATGTCTTTAAAAAGTGTTAATACAGCTCTGTGGTAGTTCGAGGTGCACATGCCTTGCACTGAAGCATGTTATTTAAAAGGATTTTGATGGGAAGTTGTGATTTTCAGCTGCACAAACCCGTAAGCCATGCAAAGGTGAACATTGAAGTTTTGTCTGCTCGTAAACTAAACTCGCTTGGTCATTTCTGTGACACCAAAAGCAACATAATCGAAGGATATTGACACACTGCTGCACGATTGCGTGTCAGCTTTATGAAC